GTGAGAGAGAGAGAGAGAGAGAGAGAGAGAAAGAGAGAAAGAGAGAGAGAGAGGAGGTAAGTCTCCAACAGCGGGGCAGACCTCATGGTACTTCTATTGATCTGATGAGCAAAATCGAATGAATCTACAGCTAGTACATGGAGATATACACAGCCACACTGTTTTTCCTTTTCTTTCTTTTGAAAATCCAAATCCCCCCACCCGTAGTCCACCATGCGCTCATATGGTAGGGTGGGTTGCGTTCGATAGATTTGTGCCACGTGGCACACATCGCGTTTGAACGCGTATGAACGCGGCCCAAAGCCTTTTGAACGTGGGCGTTCGAACGCGAACGTGCATTCGGCACGTTCAAACAGTCACATAGGAAACAACCACTACACCATGAACTCCCCAGCGACACACACAACGATGCCAATGCAGATGACCACCCCTTCAAGGACACGATACCTCCCGCTGTGGACAAAACCACAACCCAACGCCACCAGATCGAAGGCCAGCAATATCGTGACGACCCACTACCGCCAGTGGAAGGGGGAACTAACCACCCGTTCATGCACGACACACAAACTCTTCGCCTGCTCCCCGCGTTGTCTGCTTCGATTTCTCGTCGCAGCCACGTCATCGCAGCCGCCCGCTCAGCACGCTTGCACGTCTCTTATGCGCACCCATTCGCTCCGCCAGTGCGTCCTGCAGAATCAGCACATCCCCCGTCGACGACTCCATACACATCGGCCTCAAGGGTTGCTGCATCCCAAGATCCACCCTGGGATGCACACCATCTGGCCCGGCCTCCCACAGTACATTGTCGTCGAAGGGGATGTCCGCGTTGATGAGTATGTTGTGTAGAATGCACAAGGCGACGAACTGCTGCGGCAACGTGTCCATGTTTGTCTTGTGGGAGCGAAGGAACAACCTCCACCTCCCCTTCAGTCTCACGAAAGCTCTCTCAACTGCTCCCCTCGCCGTCTTCTGCTTGTTGTCGAAGCGCAACTCCGACGGGTGTTGTGTGAGACCGCCATAGGGGACGACTACCCATTCGGAGGGGGGATAACCCTTGTCGCCCAGCAAATACCCGTTCGTCTGCACACCGAAAGGCAGCATGACAGGTGGCCCAGTGAAAAGCTCCCCTACCTCCACGCGCGCCCATAAACTCGATAGGTGGACGATCCTCATGTCGTGGCAACTTCCCGGATAACCGACGAACACGTCCAACACGCCCAAGTTGAGATCGACGACCACCTGCGCCTGGACGGAGAAACGGCATTTTCTATCGTAGTAGTGCTCCCTGGGGCAATTCGCTGGCTTGTCGATGAAGATGTGGGTGCAGTCGATGCACCCATGGCAGTTAGGGAAACCCTTGTCGGCGAAAGCGCGCATGACGACCGCCTTCTCCAGCCCCGCCAACCACGATATCTTGTCGAGGTACGCACTCAGCAAAGCTTCAGTTACATCCTGCAGGACCTGCACAGCCACCAACCCAGAAGATCTGCCAATGTCGAAGCTGCATGTCCCGCTCTCGTACGTCTCCCCCGACACCCACCTGTACAAAGCGGATGCAACAATGTGGTCAGGCTGGAGGGGCTCCCTATAGAAAGTGACAAGCCGTTGAAGGAAGGGTGACAGAGCTTCCGCGATCTCTCGGAACATACGTGGCAACATGTGCAGCATCTCCTTGAAGTAGTTGGACGTTGCGTCGTCGCAATGTCGGAGATCCTCCCACACCCCCCCTGTCCGTCACTTCATCCACCACCTGGGCGTTGCTCTGGGAAAAGCTCCACACCCCATGGCGTAGCACACCTGCAGCACGGCGTCGCAAATGGCAGCAGTGTCGAAGCCGTCCATATTCATGGACTGCAGCGTCCTCTTCCGCCGTGCGAGAACCGCCACTCTCATCCTCCCCTCGCTCCTCTCCGTTTGACACCGGAAGGCTGCCACCACCGTCCTCTCCGCCGTGCTCAATGTGTCATGGCCCGCCTCCCTGTTCTTGTCCATGGCCGAAACTGGTACTATCGACATGGACGTCGCCAAGTATAGAAGACTCCAGGAGCGCCAGGGCGCACTATAGTGATGGTGCGACTGACGACCTGAGTGCATGGCATAGACATCGATGACGAAGGTGTGCCTGCGAAGACGACAATGATGGCGATCGTGTGACGGCGTGTCTGCTGCTTCGGATGTGCACATGTACGTTTGGCATGCCTGCCGACATGCAGCCGCCACCCCATAGCCAAACGCTTCCGCCGAGGAACGTTGATGCCATCAGCCGCAAGGGACGCCCACGCCGCCATCACTCGCTTGCCGAATTTCGAATTTTGAAATTCGAATCCAGCACTTCGCGCCTTTTCCAATGCCATCTATTTTTTGAACGCCGCCGACTTTCAAATTCATGACGTCCACCCGAGCTGGACCAACGACATCGGCACGGACACACCTCGCTGGATCAACCTCGCCCCCCCCGCCGCATCCGCTTGTCGACATATGAAACTGGCCGCGGAAGCGCCCGAGGAATCGTCCTCGGGGAACCATTCCGAGGATGAGCGGAACGACGGCGCAAATTTCCTCGGGCCCCGAGGACAACCCAAGGAGTATCGAATGAGCCCCTAAGAGAATTCGAATACGAAGCACTTCAGTTTTCAGATAGGAGACAGTTACAAAAACTAGAGATTGGACATATGAAATCAAGAAAAATTATATGAGTTTTAGGTTTAGATATCCATGAAGGACTTTCGAATCAGGTTCTCAAACCACGATTTGAGAATAGTTTAGCAAAGATGTTTGGCACATATTTGTTTAAGAATCATTAAAAAAAAACCTTGTTATCAGTCTATCAGAGAATAGGCCTGTTAATGCAGGGCGGAAGGGGAAACAGGCACAGGGCCTTGCCGCACGGGACACGAAACGAAAAACGAAACGAGTGCGTCTTCCTGCAGACAATGGCCAGGTTCGTCGGTTTGCTAGTGTATTTTGCCACCTTTCGTGGGCAGATGCACTCGTTTCGTTTTCGTTTTGTGTGCCATGCGGCAAGACCCACAGTCAGAGTACAAATTCCCAAAGGCAGGACCTTGGTACTTGCAGACATCGTGGTGACAAATGCTCTGGCAGCAACCTCATTTTCAACTTCATTCTCTACATTAAACCACCAGTACTTGGCCCAGCTATTGATGCCGAGCGGGGATACCCCCTGCGCGCCAAGTTTTGCCGAGCCGTCGGGGCACCGTTTCATTTTGATTTTGGCTGGCGCTTCCAGCCATTGCGGTTCGGTGCCCCGAATCCCACAACTACCGGCGCGTTAATGGGAATCGCCCGCGGCCGATAGCTGGGCCAAGTACTGGTGGTTTAAACATTATAACAGTTTACTACTGGGACGCTGGACCCCATTTCCAGCAAGTGCTGCTCCCCACTAACAGATGGAACCCTCCAGTATTACCAGTAGGGGAGCCACTTGAGGAGGCTGCCCTTACCACCTACTCAAGTGGTAATCCCCACAACAAGAGGTTTTACGTCCCCCCCCCCCCCCCCCAAAAAAAAAAAAAAAAAAAAGAGGACACGTAGGGTCTCGCTCCAGGATTTTTAGAGTGGGGGCCTCGCCACCCCACTCCCGAGTTCTAGAAAAGGAACATAAAATCCCGTTGGAGAGTGCCTTTTACCACACTGTACTCTGGAACAGGAGTCTGAACATGGCAGTTGCCACATACGGACACGTTGGATGCGAGGCAGTCTGACCAAAGTCTGTTTGTCTCTTTGAGCTCCACTCGGGAAGCTGGGACAAAACTCGGAGTGCCAAAGGAGCTCTCCTGAAAATGCGGCTTTGCAGGGTGTGGTTTCAGAAGTGCTCTCGGGTGCGAAATTCTGACAGTTCCGGAATTTCATCTGACAGATCAAATTCGAGAGCTGGTGTGGCGAATCTGGCGATGCTCCACTCCTGAAAACAGCCACTTTCGGGGGTAATGTGGCAAGGCCCTAGTTCGAGAGCCATCAGACCCTTGTGACTTGCGAGAGCTGTCAGACCCGCCTGAGTCTTGGAATTCCCTACCTTGGTCCACTAGGGCCTCTACATGCTCAAAAGACAAAAATCATGGTTGTGTATCTTTCCATGCTCTAGGAGAAGACTCACTCTCGTTTTGCACATTTCCAGAGTAGTGGAGCGAGGCCCTAGCGCTAGAACGACGGACTCTAGAATTTCAAGACTACTACGGTAACTACGCTACACAACTACACTACACCTGCACTACTCCTTTGTCCACCTTGAGGCTGCACCAGGGGTGGAGGGCAGCCACTATCCTTTTCAATGGACTAACAGGGACCGGGTATTTAGAATCTGTGTATTGGGAGATGGATCACAAAAACGGGCATACCAACCGGCAGTGTCTATTGCCATGCTATCCTTCGCCCCGCTAGACTCATTGGAAATGTCCAGTCACATTTATATCTAGCACACCAAAGTCAAGCCGCCGAGTCTACCCTGTCACCAGGTCACCAGGGACAGGTCTGCACAAACACTGTCTCAAAGCAGTGGTACCTTAAACCACCAGTACACGGCCCCAACCTTGCAGAAATTTGTCCGTCGCCTACTCCGAAAATTTTGCGTCTTGGGCCTTCAGGACTACAGTGGTCGGTCATGCCAGACAAAATAGAAAAGGAAGCGCTTTTTTTAATTTTATTTTAATAACAAAAACACCAGTTAACACAGTCAAGTGTGATGGTAAGAGCATACACACTTGCCTGCTTCGCTGATGGCTCCGTTCCATTGGTGGGGAGCTGCACCTGCTGGAAACCGGGTCCAGCATCCCCTTTGAACATCATCTTCCAGCCAAAATAGAAAAAGAAGAGCTCAGTTTGCAGTTGGGAAAAGTTTGGCCTGCAGTGCAGCGCCTCCAGGCCTGGGCGTATTGGTGGCTTAAAGGAGAAATGAGCAGAGCAGCAAACATATCCTAAAATCCTGGGCACAACCATTCTGAGCACTGTGAGCCCTTGTGCAATCCTCTGAATCCGATCAGAAAGCAATGCTGGGTGCGAAGTTGTCCATCTAGTCAGACTGTGCTTCCAGATGCAGATCATGCACTTCCTGGTGCATTCTGACCAGGCTAGTTTAGGCTGGTCTCTACCACATGGCTGAGTGTCTCTGACAGTGGTGTGAGCAGCCGTTTGATTCGTGCTTTCAACTTTTCTTCAACAAAAGAAAGGGTACACTGTTTGGAAATGTCCCCTTTTATTTTCAATAGATGGGGGGTAGCGGTGTAGCGCCTAGTAGCCTACCATCATTGTATCAACTTGAAGCTCTTATGTTTCAAAAGGTACCTTTTGGTTTCAATTAAACCACCAGTGCATCCATCTGATTCCATCAGGATTCGAACTCCTAATTTGTTTAGTAACAGTTAGTATGTGTGTGTACCATTCAGGACCACATGGAGTGAATCATACTGAATCATTTGCAAGATTCAGTGGGCTGATTCATGCACTTTTTTCCGCCCCCTGGAAGAAAGATTCATAGGGAATTGGATAAATCAACACAACCAACCTGAGGTATATGGGCCCGCCAGGGAGGAAAGAGGCGTTCCCCCTACAAGAAAATTTCCTTGGGAAATGAACATAACAAACCTGAGGTATCTGTGACTGCTAGGGAGGATAGAGCTGGCTGCCTATAGGTCGAACGCTGCCCTCTGACCTACACCGCTGCCATATCTTTCTTCTCTTGGATCTCTGATCTCTGATATCACTTCCTGGGCGTTCACACTAACAATGTCTTCCTCTATGTTTATGACCACAATGCCGGCCATAATCATATTGAATATTGATTGAAAAAACTCCTTGTATGAGAGTGCATCATGACTCATCATGGGAAGCTTGTGGGGTTGCATCTGGTGACAAAGCACACAGGAAAACAGGACAAACAAAAAAGTAAAAGATGGCGGAACTTTTCTTTCTTTCTTTTTCTTTTTTTTTGGGTACAAAACACAAGGCTCCTTCTATTCTGGGGAGCAGAAGTCCGGTTCCTTTTCCACCAGCACGCCATGCCTGGCAGGAACAGCTGTTTCAACAACAAGGAGACCTCAACATCACACCTCAAACGCTAATGCAGGTCCAACAACAACAGCAACAGCATTTCACACAACAGAAGGAGTGTGAGGAGCACCTCCAGTTACAACTCCATGTACAGCTAGCGCAATACCAACACCAACAGCACCAGGACAGGCTAACTCAGCAGCAACTGCTTCTTCAATACCTGCACTTGCAATGGCAACATCTGCTTTGCTGCCAACAGCAACAAGTTCTGCAGCAGCAGCAACTCCAACTGCATATCTTCTGGCAGCAAGAGGCTGAAAGGCAAAAAGCACGAGAACAACAGCTGCAGTTTATGCCAGAACACTCAGCAATCACCCTGCTGGACTGGTACAATGACGGACAGATACCGCAGGATAGGGACACATCTGCCCCCCCCCCACATCTGTTACAGCCGAATCAGCAGCAAGCCCAGCCAGTGGACATGGAGGTGGAGGTGGTTACCCCACAGTCATCTCCACCAGAAGTGGGTAACCCGCCGCCCCTGGCGTCCAACAAGGAGGTCCAACAAAAACTGGCATTCCTCACAGAATGGACCCTCGACGCCAAGATCTTCTCCATGTCAGAAGACAACCCGGGCAACAAACTAAACAACAGATATTGGGGGGAAACTAAAAGAATCCTAATGTACAGCCCCAAAGTTCTGGTCACGGATGATAAGTACAAGACAGTATCGGCAATTGACTGGATGGAAGTGGGAGCTGCAATCAAAC